TGACAAGCTGACATGCAGACCACACTGAGAGTAGTAGCAAGGCTGTAGGTACTAATGACTTCCATTGATTATTTAACGCCTACTGAGGGCAATTACTGCAGCAAGCCAGGGCGTTTGGTGACCTTGCAGGTCCAGGACAGGAATGGTATAGGGCAGAGGCAACACAGTCGGCTTTGTGATTAAAAAACAAAAAGAAAGAAAAAGGAAAGAAACAAATGCTTGTGTTGCTCCCTGGGTCAGCCACGGAGTGGTGCTGAGAGATGAGTGATTGTAAACTGCCCTTCCCATCATCAGCCTTCTGGACTCCGTTTTAACAGTCGTTATTTGGGGGAACGCGTTTTATTATGCAAATGAATCCAAGATCTCCAGTTGTGCTGTCCCAAATATGAAAACTATATTGCAAGGTTTGGGTTATCCTTACATTTTCTTATGTTTAAAAATGTGTATCTGCTAGAGACTTACTCTGTGCCCTGCCTGTCACTGGATGGCCATGGAAAGTTTCAAGCTGCTGGATACCCTGTTCTTACACTGACTGCCTAGCTACTAGGTTGAACTTAGATTAATGTGAAGTTTCATAAGTTATCACTACAGAGGTGATAACTTATGAACCTGCACAAGTGATACATTTCTACAGATCTCTCTCTCTCTCTCTCTCTCTCTCTCTCTCTCTCTCTCACACACACACACACACACACACACACACACACACACACAAGTATGAGTAAAACTGGGAAAATCGGAATGAGATCAGTAGATGACATCAATGTCAATATCTTGATTATATTATATTATACTTTTGCAAAATGTTACTATCAGGGAACACAGGTAAAGTGTACAGCGATCTCTCTGTAGTAGTTCTTACAACTGCATGTGCCTGTACAATTATCTCATAAAATTTTTAATTAAAAAAAGATGTAATACTACTTGTAGCCAGCCCTCAATGTCTTTAATATGTGTAGAAAGAACACATGAATTAAGACGGTAATAAAAAAAATAAATAGGATAATACTTATTAGATGTTAACTGCATAATAGGTACTGTGCTGAACATTTTACATGCAAAATTTTAATCCTCACAACACTCCAAGAGGTAAGTATTATTATTTCTGTTTTAGATGAGGAAACTGGAGCTGGGAGAGCTTAAGTCGTTTTTCCCAAGGTCACAGAGTCAGAAAGCAGTAGGGCAAAAACCAAAGTCAGGTCTGCAGCCCACTATGCTATACGAAGCATGCAGACAAGAACGCTGTTGCTCTGCAGGGAGAAATCGTAGGTGGAGACAAGGAAAGCTCTCAGGGGAGGTGCAGCTTGAAGGACCTGCAGGATCTTGGCCTCAAAGGACAAGATGAGCTGAGCTAGCAACAAGCCAACTGAGATCTTTCTGGACAAGAAGATGGAAAATGCATCACACGTCTGGGAAAATGCTTCGTTTTCCAGATGAGAAGCCTGGGGTGCATGCCTGCTTTGCCTCTCAGAGGTAGCTGGAAGCAAGATTGCAGAAGGTCTTGAATCCTAAGGGAGTTTGGTGAGATATTTCTGGATCTGGTTAGCAATTTGTGAGAACTAACAAGGCACTGATAAGGCCAAGGGTGTATGTGAATCACTAGCATTCACGAGGGAACCCAAGTGCGAGGTGTGGATGGCTTAGCACAGAACAACCCATTCCCAGGGCCAAAAGAGCAAAGGGAAGCAATTTCCTCATGGAAAGTTGGTATGTGAAGGGAACCGAAGAGAGTATTAATGACAGTGAAGGCCACTAAGTAGTTGAGACTGATCGTCACTAGAAACATATTGACTATACTTGGATTTTAATCTAGTACCATATGGCTACTTATTCATTCAATTCCTGAGTGCCTATTATGTGGCCAGCACTATTCCAAGGACTTGGGATAGATCAGTGAACAAAGTCCAGTGACCGAATTCTCTGCTACCATAGAACTCACCTTCTGTGCTTAGTACTTATTTCTGATCAGAAAGATTCTTAACTCTCAGAACCTAAGAACACATTTCCATACTGTACGCTTGACATCTCAAGGAGGAATGCAAATCTCTCTGGGGCGAAGCTGGGCAGCTATACAGAAGGACAGACACAGCACTTCTGATTTAAGAGTGAGGATGATCTTACCCCACTGTGGCTACAGAGAAACTTAAGATGAGCAGATTGTCAGGCCTTGCCTCTTGGCTGGGTCAGGAAAGTGAGATCAGAACCAAGGTGAAGGATTGGCGAGCACCCTTGAAGATGATTCAAGTTAGCCTGGGGTACCCTCTCTGTTTTCTACTCCCAAACTGGGATTTGCTTTGGAATCTTCCATAAATGTAGAGAAATTGAGGGCTTTCCAATCCTAGCCTGGGTAAGTCCTGTTTCAAGACAAATCAGAACAAGGTGGCTTTGCATCGTAAAAGCAGGAAAGGAAGATGGGAAATAAGTATACCTGGAGACATGCGTTTAGGCAAGAGATATTCTACAGTACAGCCTTGCACTTATAACACAGAATTCAAGATATGGAATTTTTCCCAGAATGCTAATAGCAAGATACAGATGAAGAGATAAGCTGCTGGCCACTGTCTCTACAAAAGATATCTAAAGGTAAGTAAATAAGGCAAGAGTCGATAATGGGCAAATTTACTAATATTACTCCCAACTAAGGATTTTTAATCATTGCAAAATGTTAAGTTCCCACAAGCTTCAAATATCTGAGAATAAATATTTAAAATGTCTTTTGACTTAGGTGTGGAAAGATTCGCCAGTCTTTATTTTTTTGAACAATACTTTAAAAAGCTTGATTTAGTTCCCAACGAACCCACACCCCACGCTTTTGTGTCACATTTACCATATTTAGCCATTTGCTGTAAATGTGGCTGTACGGCATAATTGTGTAAGAAACACAGACATTTGCTTCAGTTTGACAGTAACTTTTTGCAGGTGGCAAAATTTTCTTGCTTTAGTCAAGGTGAAATAAATGCCACAGATACAGAGATCCTATTTCTAACTTCGGGCTGCACAGAACTGCTCCTGAACACAGCTTCTGGTTGTCCCGAGTGACAGGTCAACTCAGCTCCTGAGCACAGCAAACTGAAAAATGGTCCTACTACCCGCAGAAGGCAAGCTTTCTAAAAAGTCATGTTCATGGTTCTGAAATAATAGTCATGTCCCAAAACGCAGGTCAGACTTTGAGCTGATAGCTGGTAAGGTGGTTGTGCACTCAATGAATGTGTGAGTGTGCATAAGTGTGTGAGCAACTTTGATAGAGTGTGTAGAAGTGTGTGAGAACTTTGATAGAGAAAAGAATGTGCACGATTTGGATGACCTTGGTCCCAGAGATGATGGCCCACTGTATTTAGCTGCATTGCCAGTAAAAAAAAAAAAGATGGGGCTGCTGGTTACCGGGGCTCTTGATTTCAGAATTTAGTTTAGGGGGCAAGCCAAGGATGACAAAGGGGGCTTCTTCTTTTACTTCCTCTCAATTTTTGGCAGTTGAGGGAGCTAGGAATTGCCTCCCATCGTCATGGATCTAAAACTAACATTGTTATTAGCACCTTCCCCTCCATTTACTCTTTTTTGGCCACTTTACACCCCTTCGACCTTAAATAATTAATTTGCCCAATGAAATGCTCAATGTAGTTAAACAGCTGTAAAAAGGCACTTTGCTGAGCCAGGAAGAGCATTTTATAGAAAGAAAAGGAAATGCTATATTTATTGACATGAAAAAAATTAACATTGTCACTGAATTTTGCATTATTTGGCCAAACCTCCTCCATAAACTTATCTTGGGCATGAATCTGTGGTCACTGGCACGTGATCAGCAAAGTGACGTGGGTTAAACAACCAAATAGATAAATCTGGCTCTCCTGCAAACGTAAGGTGTAAACGAGGCTTTTATGTGGCTCATTTGGCGAGTGGAACAGAACAGTTTGCGCAGTAAAAAGCTCCCTCAGATCTGGAGATTTTTAGATTGCTTATTTTATGACTGGGTCTTTAGAAATCAATGTATTCAGTGTTTACTTTTTCACAGAGACAGTTAAATAAATTTGACTGCCCTTGGGAATAGTTTATTTTCTTCGGGGTATGTCTAGTCTTCTGTAAAAACAATACTAGGTTTGTACAATAAATTTGGAGGAAGGGAGAACACAAGACATAGTAAATATAATTGATAAAGAACTTTTCTTAAGTATTTTTTTTACAAAAATGAAATCTTGGCCACACTGCAGCCTCATTTCAAAGCCCATTTGGAACCCTTTAAAATTAGGAATACAATAAATTCATACATCAAGCACAACATCATCCATGCATTATTTATCCCCATGATTTTAATTCCAACTCTTTCAAATACACCCTCAAATCAATAACCAGACAAAACAAATTTCCTTCCTGGCAGTATTTCCTTAGCTTCTTTTATACTTTGTGGTCTAAGAAAAAAAAAACAACATAAAACACACATCCGATAAAAACATCCCACAGGAAAGTCCGCTTTGTTTACTTTCTCCAGCATCACCAAGTAAATTCTGCAAGGCTTTCGGACACACCAGAATCTTTCATTTGTACTATGAATTTTGATCACAACTAGCACTTAACCATTTTCAAAGTGCCCCCGAAAAATGACTAAAAAGAATGTTTTGTTTTGTTTTGTTTTCCTTTAAAGGCTTGAAAAACACTTGCTTGAAAAACTTTCTGAAGAGTGGCACTACCTGGTAAAACAAACGCGCCAGACAAAATATCAGATATCTTTTTCCAGCTGTCCAGGATCCCATTAGTGCCTCTTACTTCTATCTGTCTTTTGCTATAATTAGGATGGCTTAGGGTTTATCTGGGCCTTTTTTCAAAACCAGATTTCCTTCCTAGTGGCAGCAGCGGCAGCGGCAGCTGTCATTCACAAGCACCCTGATGGCAGTGTGGCCCAGCAATCAAAATGGGAAGTGAAGGGACACACACACACACACACACACACGCACGCACACACACACACATACCTTTTATCTTGTAATTTTTTTAAAAAGGAGCCTTACCTGAGGATGATCACTCTGGTCTGGAACCCGGCTTGTTTCCAAGAGGTTATTAACCTGCACCCCTTCTTCCTCCAAGTTCAAGTTCCCTTCTTTGGGGAGCGTGCCTAGTGGAGTTTGCAGGGCGTTCGCTTCCTCTGCTTGGGTTGGAAGAGCACTGTCTCCCGCATGGAAGTGGAAATTCAGATCCGCAGCTTCTGCTTTGGCATGAGAGCTGTCTTCTTTATCACCGTGGGTTAGTGGGTGCTTGACAGGTTCTTCGGGATGGAGGAGTTTAAGGGTGCCTTCAGTTGCGCTGTCGTTCAGGTTGGGGTTCAGCTTCTCGGGTTTTCCCTTAATTCCCGGTCTCCTCGCCCCAGCAGGTGTCTCTGAGCCCCTCTTGCTCCACAAATCCGTTTCCTCTGCTCTTTCCTTGGCCGTGGTCTCCAAACGCTGGTCCATCTCTAACTTTTCTAACTCAGCAGACAAGCGCTTCACCTCTCTCTCTGCCACTGCTTTATCCATGTCTAGCAAATTGTCACTGGCGAATTCCTCTCCTGCTCGGTGGCTGTCTCTGGTTTCCCCTTGAATTCCTGGATAATCATTTTCAGCAGAAGCAGTGGGTAGTTTATATCTCCCCTGGTCTGTCACTGTAGACGTCCCATCCTGGTGAGGTCCCAAAGTCAGAGTCATCCCTGTTTGCGGAGATGAGGGACTGTGGGTGGAGGCTCGGTGGCGCCTTACCCTCACTTCTTGAGGTTGTGAGTGATAACCACAGAAGCCAGTGGTGGCCTCCATCGGCCCGGTGTTATCTGACACCCCAGGCCTGGAACCCATTTCACTGAGGAAAGGCTTACACACCCCCAAGCCACACTCACCGAATTCCATCACTTCGTCATCGCTTTCTAATAAAAAAACATGCTCAGTCCCCTGCAGGTCCCTTTGCCAAACTGCATTAGAGTAATCCGTCATAACGTCGGAACATTCCAGATACTCCAGGTCATCATCTGAAAACTCCTCCATGGAGGTTAGGGTTATCTCTGGGCAAAGTTCATAGTCACTGTCAGAGTCTTCACTGGAAACCTGTGGGCTGACTTGCTTGTTGACTGTGGCCCTGTCACCTGGGTAAATGGAGGTGGCAGCCTCCGGCAGTGGTAGGCTGATGCTAATGTATTTCTGAACTTTGGGATTTCGATGACTAGGGCTTAAGTCTTCGTCATTCAGGCCGTCGTCGTTTAAGGCACCATCCGTTAACCTTGATACTTTGGACTGCATCATCCCGTGGCAACACTCACCTTGTTCATCGGGAATATTACTCGCATTAGGAAAAAGCAACCCATCTGCAATTTCCTTTGTGTTATTCGGATCACAAGCCTCTTCCGTTTGTCTTGTTCCTTTAAAACCCAAGGGATTTTCAGAACCAGATGCACTAATGTCATTACTAGCCAACAACGGGAGTGAGCATAAAGGGTTAAATTGGGAGGAGGAGAAATCAGTTGGCATAGGAGTAGCCAAGGAGGGATTTTCTTCTTCCTTATAAGGATGTTCTTTCTCATCAGCTTGATTTGTGCTTTTCTCTTCATATGTCTGTGTTTCATGCTCCCAACCTGTGTCCCCGCCATCTTTCGGATTAGGAGAGAGTTGTGGATTCTCTGACGAGCACTCGACTTCAATGGAAGCAGAACAGCAGATCATTCCAAAACAGTTTTTAGCAGAGATTTGGTAAACAGCAGCGTCATTTTTGGTACAGCTAGGATGAAGAGAACATACAGGTAAGTTTGCTATATTTGGACGTGCATGCCGACGTCTCCCACTTTGTGGCACACACAGAAAATGGCCATGGTTTCTACCACACACTCAAGGAGATCTGTGGTTTCCCTAGAAAAGAGTTTGTGGTCAGAGGCAACTGGCTGTTGGTCTCCAGCTGCCCCCAATTCTGCTAAGAACCCCAGGAAGCTCAGCATTTTCCCATAAGACTTTCTACTATCTTACCCCAATTGAAAATGCTGAGAATTACTTAGATGAATGGGGAAACATTTTGTATTCTCTTGTCCTCTCCTTCTATTTTAAGCCAGTTTTATGCTATTGGAATTTGAAAAACCATTATTTTTTGGAGTGAGACATTGTCCACAAATAACTGAAGTATTCTACCTCATGTAGTGGATCAGCATAAGCAATAGCTCTTTTTAAGACCATGCTAAGAAGGCATGGTTCTTGCCGGGAGGCTATAAAGATAATACCATACTAGGATCATGTGTATGAAGAATACACATTTCCTCTTTAGTTTATCGTGACTATTAGATCTAAACCACAGCCAGTGAGTCCTCTGGCTGGAAACCCATGTGTCCGCATACCACCCTGACTTACATAAACCAAGCCGGGTGTTCACCTTTGGCCCAGCGGGGAGAGAACTAAAGCCTGGATCACGCTGAGCCTGCTCTCCCTGCTCCAGAAGGGACAGTGCTCCTGTGGCCCCGCCTTTTATTGGCTGGAGTCACCTGGAGCCTAAAGCCTGACGGTGCTTTTGCCACTAGGATCCTTCTCCAGGCTCTGCAGTCCCCATAAAAACTTGTTACACTTGCCTTAGAATTTGCATTCTTACTGATCTCATTTGACCTCATGGTAAGTATAACATTGCTGACCTCACTCTATGCATTGTCCAGTTCAGAAGTCAACAACCATTTTCAGAAGGCAGGAGCTGTGAGTCTGGCTCAGACTTAGAGGCAATGCTTAGACCTTTATTGACTGATCTGTGTAAAATATGCACAATCATCTAACCCTGGCAGGTCAGTGTTAGACACTCACAGCTATGGCACGCAGTCTTCCTTATCCTTTCTTCTGCAGTGGAGGGACCCTTCTGTCTCCCCAAGCTCATATGTGTTCATCAGCCCTCAATCATTGGGTGCCAGCTCACATGGGCCTCGTTTTTGGGAATCATAAACTAATTCTATTTTTGTTGATACATTGTTTTGTTGGCAATCTGGTTCCCAAGTAGAAGCCGCTCGGGTGGCTGGGGTTGGCCCAGCCTGGCCTATAGCTGATGTCTGGCTTTACAAGGGGAGACTGAAATTTCGGGCAACTTTTTTTGGGGGAAAACAGTACTTATTCCTGTCTATTTAACTAGATTATCCTGAGGTTCAAATGAGAAAATCGATGTGAAAGACCTTTGCATCACAGAAACTTTATGCCACATGCATTCTATAAGAACGTGGATAGAGGTGTCAGCTAATGCTAAGGAGACAGAGGTATTAGATAACCCCGCCATGGCGATCATATTGCAATACAAATGTATCAAATCAATACGTTGTACACCTTAAACTTACACAGTGTTCTATGTCAAATATAACTCAACGAAAAAGAAAAAGATGGGACATGCTAAGATCAGATTCCCTCTGATTCTCAAGAAGTGTGCAGAATAATCACCAGGGAGCTCTATTTAAAATTCTTGGATCAGAACCTGTGGGTAAAGGGCCAGAGGATCTGCTTTAAAAGATCTCAACACATTCTGCTACAAGTTGACCTTGGCCCACCTTTGGAGATATCCTCATTCTCATTATCCGTTAGGCTCGGGTATCTTCAGTTAAAGCTGATGGAGGAACGGAGAGAAAGAGACTTTTGCTTGAGGTTCACATTGCTCACACTATTCCCTTCACATCTCTTTTCAGTTAGTTCTTTGAGATGTGGCCTCAGTTAAGAGATTATAAGGAGCATAAAACAGCACCATGGGCTATGGGAAAATCCCAAGTAATTCCAATTTCCTGATTTATCCAAGCCATGATCCCTCTGCAAGAGAAACCACCTTTCCTGAAGGTACCATGACATGGGAAAAAGAGAAGAAAACAAGACCAAGAGGCACAATAAACCAGGTAAGAAATCAGTAGAGGAAGGAAACAGAGATGGTTCTCCGGAATCAAGAAAGGAAAACAAATGAATTTTAGAAAAATATAGAAAAAACAATTGGGTTCAATAGATTTAACTTCCAAATAACTAAATAAACAGATGGGAGGATGTTATGATTTAGTAATGTATGGTTTTATGGAACATGTGTTTTAGCTGACGTAAGATTTACAAATCATCTTAAGTACACTAAAAGAGAAGAGAAACTGGATTAAGTATAATTAACTTCTCACTGGCTAATAAACACTTTTGAGAGGGTTGTGGTTTGTGGTTGACATGTCCTGAATAATTATCTCGAAGCATCCTTCAGAGGAGAGGGAGGAAAGTGGGCATGTGTTGCAGGCCTCCTGTTAAACAGCCTGCTGGCTGCTCTGTGTATGCAAAACCTAGGCTCAAAGTTGTTGAATGATTTCCCCAATGTGACAAAGCTTGTAAGTAATGGTGCTAGCATATGCCTATGCTAGAGCCTTCTGACTCCGCGGCCTGGCACTGTGTATCCTGGGAGAAAATGAACATTCAGAGAAGGGAAATCAGAGTGTGGGGTGATCATTTTTGCAGATAAAGCGTTTCTGTCCTAAATCTTCATCTCGATTGGTCAATTGACAAACTTGTGTCCAGCATCTTCCGGTGCCCAATATTATGTGAAGAGCTGAGGAAGAGTCAAGGAGATGCATAAAACGTCATGTTCAGCCCTAAAATACCAAGAATCCACCGGGGGAGATAATGTTGAATTTCTCAGAGAATCTCATAAGTCCGTTTTGTGCTCAACTGTATGGTACAAACTGGAAGAGTGAGGGTGTTCAAAGAAAGGACTTCAGTGGTAGCAGCTGAGATGGTGTGACTCGAGCTGGGGGTTAGAATCTTTCCAAGATGCTGGCAGAGTGACCTGTGTGCCCCACAGTGATTTGATAGGAATGCAAAACCATCCAGGAAGAAATTCCCTGAACAATTCATTGAGTTCCTTCCCTCCATATCTTTCCTTTCGGCTGAAGGAGGCAGCAGCATTCCTCCACCTTGCTGTGAAAGTCTTGCTCGCCTCCTCTAGGTTCTTTCCAAATTAATCATTTCCATGTAGAAGAAAAAGAGCTACATGTGACCTTAAGTGGGTGTGGCTTCTCCTGTGCTTGAACCCCCCGGGCTGTTCTAAACCAGAGGTTCTCAAACATTTTGGCAGCAGGTCCCCTTTACGCTCTCAAAAATAATTGAGGACCTCAAAGAACATTTGTTTATGCGGGTTATATATTTACCATATTACAATTAAAACAGAAAAATTAAAGACATTTATTCATTTTAAAATAACAAAAATAAACTCATTATATGTTAGCATAAAAAACATACTTTTATGAACAATATCTCTATTTTTCCAAAACAGAGTAAAATATTATGAGTGGCATTGCTTTACATTTTTTCATATATCTTTAATATCTGGATTTTTGTATCTGCTTCTGCATTCAATGTGATACAATACCTTATTTTGTTTGAAGTATATGAAGAAAATCTGGCCTCACACAGATACGTAATTGGAAAAAGAAGGAGTATTTTAATAATATTTTCATATGATTACAGATAATCTTCTCTGCTACTATACAAAGATTAGTTGCAATGTGGAATCTGAAACCACATTGATGAACTTTTCCTACTTGTTACATAAAATCCATTGGTCTTGATTGCATTTGACATGCATCTTTTACCCATGCATGATTTTGTAATTTTGAAGTACTGGAAAACTGTCAAGTTTCTGATGAAGGATACGACTTTTCCAAATTTCTGGTTAGGGAAATAATACGAATCTTCATTTGTCATAACAAGGTAAGTCAATTCCGTGCTAAATTGCTTGGCAGAAGTAGAAGGGTAGAGGACATCCGCAAAATGGCACAGCGAGTTCTGGAAATTTTCTCCTCCATAAAAGCAACAAGAACCCTGGCGAAATCTGTCTGAATGCACTTTTTCAGAACTCTGAAAATTAACCACAGGCAATCCGAAGAACATTTACTTAAGAAGGGGCAGAACAGAGCTGGAGCAATGATAAAGCCTCATTCCAAAGGGACTGCCATCATGTGACCTGGTGATCTTTATGTGATCTGGCTCATGCTCACCCAGTGTGAATGTCCTGGGGGAATTTGTCAGAAAAAAAACTTCAGAGGCAATTGTTTAACATCAGGGCTGACCGAGGCAGTGGGAAACAACTGAGAAAAACAATAGGCTAACCAGAAGATTAAAAGGGAAAGCTAGGGAGTGAGATGTCCATAGAAGATATTAAAAAGCTCCAGCATATTCTTGGCAATCTAGAAGGTCATGCACATGTGTAAGGCCGTGAGCATGCCCAGGGGTGTATACGTGCTCAGGAAAGACCTGAGGACTCTAAGCTCTCGCCTCTAACTGGCCTTAAGGCTCTGTGCTAGCAGGTGGTAAAGGCAGAGATGTCAACCACCTGGCTGAGTGTTGAAGGGCCGCATGCCCCAACGTGTGCACAGAGCCTCTCAACAAAAACCGGCAGACTTACTGGTTCCAGGAATTTAAGGAAATTTCTGTCCAATCACTAGATGACCACTAAGCTAACTGGGCAGAGACTTCAGTGGCCATAAACAACAAAGAATACTGCATTTAAAGAATCAGTTCAGAAAAGTCACCAAACAAACAAACAACAAGCAGCCCTGGGAAGAGGAGAGAATGATTTCCAGACTTGGCACATTACACTGTTTAAAATGCCAAGTTTTCATAAAAAAAAAAAAATTATAAGACATGCAAAGAAAGAATGAAGTGTGGCCCATACACAGGAAAAAGAGTGGTCAATAGAAATTGTTTCTAGACTTGCTAGATAAAGATTTTAAATTAGCTATTTTAAGTATGTTC